ATTTCTTCGGGCCACAATATCCCTTTGCCACAGCCCGTAAAATACGGAACATTTTATCATTTGCTATCGCCAAGATCGTTTACTTTTCCAAACAATAAACCTTCATTCCACCTTCTCACCACTTCTTCCAATCCATTCTTTGCTGCATTTTAAGTAAAATACGACAAAAGATTGTCTTTCACGACTTAAAACCACTTGGAATTATTGAAGGTGGTGTCTGTGAATACAGGTAAACCGTTTTCCGAGCAAAACAATCGACTTAACCGGCAAAGCTTTTATTTGCGTATTTTATTAAAAGTGGAAACTTATCTGTTTGGTCTTTTGTTTGAACGAATAAACTTTGGACAAATAATTCATTTCTGTTGTGCCATTACAAAAAAAATCTTTCACCAAAACAATCGCTTTTAAAATACACGCATTTCTCTCTCCGTTCTCTGTTTATCGCTCTTTCTCGCTCCAAATCGCAAATGTTAGCAAAATTGAAATAATTTAACCATTCATTCGAATTGGTTTTGGTGAACATACACTAGACTGCTTCAAAAAAAAAAGTTGTCCCTCATCTGAAAAGTCCAGCCAGTTTCGAAAAATCTACCTCAAAAAAATAGGTTTTGTCTAAAAAAATGACATGGGTACCATAGGAATTGGTGAAGCAAGCCCCATATCAAAATTTTGATGACAGAGTTTTCGGAAGCCAATTCATATCGCAACATTCATATGAAAATATCAATTTTTGTTCGGGAGGTACCCCAGAAATCATTCATAAGAGATTCTGTGTGAGTAGATTCCCAATATTTCTCGAAAAAAATAACTTTGTACCAAGAAACTCATCCAGAAAGTGTATTTTTGGGGTACCTTCCGAACAAAAATTGATATTTTCATAGTAAAATCCATGAAAAACGTATATTTTGTTCGGGAGGTACCTCAAAAAGTCAATTTTGAGAGTTTTTGTCTGGGTAGACTCCACATATTTTCGAGAAAAAATAACATTGCACCAAGACACCATCCCAAAAAAGCCTATACTTAAGGATTTTTTGGTCAAAAGTTGATTTTTTGGGAGTTGAAATCAAATATGAGGCCAGAAATATATGAAAACATCACTCGATTTGGTCATGTAAGTACCCAAAATGTTCGTGAAGGACCATACTAGATGTTCAAAGGCAGAAAAGGTAGAAATCATTTGCTTTTACCTGTCAAACCGAAGCTCATGTTTGTGATTTGCTCATTTTGGCCTGAAATTTGTCTTCTATGTCTGAATCAATCGGCACAAAATTCCATCCAAATTGCAATCTGAGAAGTGCTAAATTGTTCATACGGCTGCTGGCTACACGACACGAGTCGAAAACTGAACAAAAGTTTACCACCTGGGGGACCAGTAGAGCAAAAAATGCAAAAATGCCGGAAAATTGCCATTTTTCCGGTCATTTTACACTGTAACTGGCCCAGAATGCCTTTTCAAGGGCTGATGTCTTGGTAAAAGTTGTAGATATTGACGAGCCAGACAAAACCCTATCATCAGTTTTTGCCCAAAAATTGGCTGAAAAAATGATTTAAGTCGAAATGTTGCGATATGAATTGGCTTCCGAAAACTCTGTCATCAAAATTTTGATATGGGGCTTGCTTCACCACTTTCTATGGTACCCATGTCGTTTTTTTAGACAAAACCTATTTTTTTGAGGTATATTTTTCGAAACTGGCTGGACTTTTCAGATGAGGGACAACTTTTTTTTTTGAAGCAGTCTAACATACACGTTTAGCATTTTGTATGGAAGTTCATTAGGGTCGTGTAACAAAGTAACCTGATGAAAAGGACATTCGATTCGAATGTTGTACGGTAGGTATTTCACATTCACACTGAATGCATTTTAATGATGCTAATTAAATTTAAGTTTGTGTTTTCATACCAACTGGACTGTGTACGGTTGCATTTAATAGGGCTGCTGTGTCATCCGAAGTGAGCACATTGAATGAATTAGACACAAGCCGACTAATTGCTAGTATGTGTAACAAATTGTACTTTTGGCCGGTTTCGGTTCATTCAACGAATCGAATTAGTGCATCAAGTGAATTTACATACAATGCAATTGGAGCGAAAGGAGATCCATTTCGATCAGCTGAGGGTAAAACCAGAAACCTTGTCAGAAGCAATATATATGTTCAATGTTCATGTTTGAGTATTATATGACATTTGAATGGACAAACGGGCTGAATGTAAGTGGCAAAACACTCAAATTTCATTGGATTTTATTGTATGGTTACAAGGATCGTAGGATGAAACATACCGTTGCATTTAGAGCAATTTCATTTGCCATTAAAATGGAAAGTTAGACGACATTCCGGAGATATTGAAGTGTATGAATCGAAATTCTGAATTAATGTGTCGTTGTTTATAATCGTGCCAATGATAACATAGTCAGGTGAATGATATTGAAAATCGTGCTCGTAAAGAGTCTACTTAATTCGGTAAAATATCCAAATTAATCGCTGCTCTCTGTCCCGTACGCATTTGATTTGAAATGAATTCGCACCTGAAAAGTGGAAATTCATTGCAAACAAAACATTTGAAATCAATTAATTTGTATCCGTCTATCATCATTTTATTGCATGATGAGACATGTGTGTTGTTTCGTTTTTCATTAAAACTGAAACTTGTTGTTGCGTGAAACGAATAGCATTCAGGTACAGAGGGAAGAGGTTCAGAAGTGGAAACTGTTTGTATGTGCGTATCTTCTACGCTGCGGATTTTCATGGATCTCTCTTTGATTTGAATCCTTGTGCATGTATGTGGAGATAGAGTTAGAGCAAACAATCATGCGACATGCATTACGAAGCACACATCACGCCCATTCAATGCTTGTCAGCACAATCATTTCGCAATGAAATTGAAACCGTCTGTATTTTGTTTGCTTAAATTGAATTGGCAGTTGTGTCTCACTTCATGTTTATCGTGCTCCATTAAAATGTTATTAGAATGTTCTCGAGCATTTTAAGCTCTGGCACACGAATATAAAATACATTCAATGAATGAAATGGATTTATACGGCAAAATCATTTTCCAATTTAAATCATTCAATGAATCGACGTAAATACACAACATATACGCATCCATATGGATTGAATGCGAACGGCGATGCGCGATTGATTGCAACTCAAATTACTCCATTTATGTGACAAACAGTTGTGTAAATAGTTTAATACCAATTCAATCTATTCATCGAATGTCGATGAAAAACTGCAAAGAGCGAACGATTGTCGCATCGAAAACGAAATAGAGAGATAGACGGAGAGAGAAAAAAATCAGCCGGAACGTGAATTCAACAATTCATTAATTGTGCTGTGCTAATTGATTGATTCTATTTGAGATAGAGTCAGCCGTTTGCCGCCGTTTTTTCATCCCATTCACAATGGCACAATCAATCATCATCGTTGCTCTTTTGTGTACTCGTTTCGACCAAATAATTGATAGTTTATAAATGCTCTTCAATTCGCTTTCATTTTAACAACCATTTTATTCCGACATTAAATCCACTCGAACACACAATTCTTCGGCGACCAATGATGGATCATAAAATTGTGAATATTTATCTTGCTCAACTTGCCATTTGACAATTTTCTTACGCGATGTACTACATTTATTTTCGCAAGAGCATGTTAGTGTATTTATCGTTAAAACCACTTGAGCTTTTACTTCAATATATGGAAACGATTGAAATATTCCTAATTGATAGTTGTTTTCACTTCAACATTTCTCCGTTTGGTAATAAAATCCGGAATAAGACATCTCGAATGGACGAAGTTTATTATCCCATTTCAATAAGCTGTAGTTATAAAGACGATTCAAATTGCTTCTAATTTAATCTTTTGCATTTAGTTTGGAACCAATTTTGCAAACTGATGTCGATCATTTCTGCGTTGCGCGTCTAATTACAATGATTTAGTCTAATAATGGTAATTAGCTTCGTTGAGAAATTACCAATGAATGAACTTTATGCATCTACGTTATTATTGCTAAGTGAATTGAATGGATCTGTGTGATCTTGATCGATTCTCAACAAATGTGCAATTGTTCAAAACTCAAACAACAATAATGTCCAACACATCTTCGAAGATTTTCAGAATTTCATCTGCAAATAAATTCCCCGAACTTCAAACAGAATAATTCAAATTGCCGATACACATTTGAAACTATTTCTAAACTTTTGTTTATTGCCCTTCCAACAATCATTTCACCTTCTTAAGCTTCGTAAATATTTGTAATGCACATTCTGCATTTAATTATGGAAATAGCTATGTGCAACAATTAGTATTATTCTGAGTTGTTTGATTCATTCAAAGGTAAACTTAGTTCTATTGCACAACGCTTATCAGAAATGAATTTGCAATGGAGATTGTACCAAAGTACATGGGAAATTAAATTCTTATTCATTATAATTAGCTAATCGGATCCATATATGGATTTTTATTTTTCATCCCAAAATTGAAATTAATTTATGTGGATTTGGTTAAAAATGGAGCTTTAGTTTTACATGAATGTGGACAAAATCCTGTTTGGCATTTAAAACCGAACGTTTTCTTCTTTGTAATGTATTTCAATCTTTCTTTCAAAATATAAATGTTCGATTTCTGTAAACACGTGTTTTTTTTCTACTAATTTAAAATATTTAAAATAAGAAACTCCTACTTCTTTCCGATCTTTATTCCGATCGCTGTTTGTAAAAAGTTAATTAGTTCAATAAGAATTTATGGCTTTCAATTAATAAATGGAATGAGTAAGAAGAAAGAACGAAGACATAAAGAATGATAAATATAGAGTCGCAAAGGTGACGGCATCACCTGTCAACGATGAACAGCGTATGAAATTCAAATTCGTTGTGTGTTTCATCGTATGCTATAGCACGCTACATGTCATGGTCGCCTGTCTATTTCTGGTTCGTACCACGACAATGAAAATTTGTTGCTTGATTCTCTATATGGTTTAATATTCGGCCATCAGTTTATCTCTTGCTTTGGTTTCATTCACAGGTAATATTTCTTCTGCGTCTGGTTTTGATGAAATTAATATAGCTGAATTTCTACAGTTTGTAAAAAAGTCATGGGATACCGTGATTAGGTATCATAATATCTTAATTGAAAGGTGTTTTCAGTTGGTTTTGACAAAGAACATAATTGCTACTTTTAGACACATTTTTATTATGTGTTTAATAATTAATTTTATTGTGTCGCTAGAATCTATGAAACAATGAAGTTGTTCATCGTACTCGGTGTCTGTCTAGGAACTACTCTTGCCGCCCTATTTCCAGGTAATAGAAAAATTGCCCAGAAATTCAAACTGTTAATCTTTGAATGTTCACGTCCAATTTACTCTATATTTCAGACTCAAAAGTGAACAAACAGTAAGTGAATTAAATAAGTTATTTCTTTCATTGTTCGTATCAAAAAGTGGTTTGCCTTGAATGGAATGCCATTCAGAAAAAATTGACTTCTATAAGAGATATTCGCAATATTCTCAATATATATAATATCAAAACACTATTTTTACAAACTTTATTCACTTTATCATGGAGATCTGTGAAGGAAACGCAGTTACGTCACCTAATCGAGTCAGGTACGTTGAAATGTAATGATATTGATATCCGAACATTAAATTCTTATGAATATCAAACTTATTCTCTCAGGTGAAACAACTGAAGTTAAAAAACTTATCGAAGATGGAGTCAATGTAAATGTTAAATACGATAAAGGAACCATGCCAATTCATCTGGCTGCAAAATTGGGTACATATTAAGTTTTAGTTTTCATTTGTATGAATTTAAAAAAAAATCAATTTTGCCATTAGGTAAGGAGGATATAGTTAAAACTTTGCTTGAAAATAATGCTGCTGTTGATGCTAGAAACGATCGTGATTGGACTCCACTCCACATAGCTGCCAGTGAAGGTAATCAACATGTGTCGAACCGCTTTTTCTCTTTTATTCAAACGCAATAATAAACCAGTCTCATGGTATCATCGTGATAGGTCACGAGAAAATTGTTGATATACTCATTCAGGCTGGAGTTGATATTGAAGCCAGGCAAGAAGATGGCTGGACGGCTCTTCATTTGGCTGCTGAAAGAGGTTTCTCTTGTGTTTGAAACATGGTTGTATTCATCACTCATGTTCGAATATTTTTGGTTCGTTAACTTAGATCAAGAAACAGTCGTTAATCTTCTCATTCAAAGTGGTTCGGATTTTGATGCTTTTGGAGATTCAAACCGAACTCCAATTTATTTCGCAGCAAAGAAAGGTAGTTCACTAAAATATTGAAAACCAATTTTCAATTAGAAAGAAGCCAACAACTTTTAATTACTTATTTAGGTTTTGAAAAAGTAGCTGAACTTCTGATTGAAGCTGGCGCTGATGTTAATAACGTTGAAGAAGTGGATGGTCTAACGCCCCTTCATTTGGCTTCACATAACGGTAATTCGGCAGTTTTTCATTTTTGGAAAACATTTTAATAAAATGATTTTATCCGTGTTATTATCATTACTTATCAGGCCATGACAAAGTTGTTGAGATTCTGCTTTCATCTGGGGCAAACATCAGTGCTACAGACATGAAAAACTGGACACCGCTTCATCTCGCCACTCAAAATGGTATTTTGAATGATTGCAAATCATCGATTTGATCCATTCATATTTCACTTCGTTTATTAGGCTATGAAAAAGTCGTCGAAATCTTGCTTAAAAATGGTGCGGATGTTAATGCCGAAGAAGTAGATAAATGGACACCATTGCATTTGGCTGTACAGATTGGTAATTTGAATTGGAACGAAGATATGCATTGAGAGAAGTTCATCGAATTTATTTACAAATGAAAATTTACCATTTTCCTTACTTAGGTCATGAGAAACTTACTAAATTTTTAATCCAAAATGGTGCTGACATCGAGGCAAAAGAAACAGCTGCATGGACTCCGCTTCACATTGCTGCCGATTTTGGTAAATTTTATAGAAATTTTACGCTAATTCACATAAAACTAATTGCTTTTACCCTATCAGGCCATGAGAAAATCGTCGAAATTCTTCTCGAAGCTGGTGCGAATGTTGATCCCAAAGATGAAGATGATTTCACTCCGCTTCATCTTTCTGCCCAAAATGGTGATCTTCATCAAAATACGTTGAATTTTATGTTCACACAAATATGAGTGACAGTTCTATAAGAAAATCAATCTTGTGCTTTTTTAGGTAAGGCAGACGCTACCAAGATTCTGATTGAAAACAAAGCCAATGTAAATTCTAAAAATAGTAAAGGAGATTCACCTCTTCACTTAGCTGCCGATTCTAGTGAGTAATACTATAACATCATATTCAATTCAATGTCTTGCATCAAACTCGATCCCTTCTTACTTTTCTTCAGATAAATATGAAATCGTTGACATTCTCATTCACGCTGGAGCTAATGTCAACAGCAGAAACAATAAAGGATGGACACCATTTTGCAGAGCACGTGATCTTGGTAACACTTAGAATTGAAAAGAAACTTTGATCTACATTAATTAATGTTCCATCTTTTTCTTCAGCCTATGGGAAAATCGAAAAATTTCTGACTGCAAATGGTGCAACACAAACTTGCGACGACAAAACCTCTTCAAAATAATGATACAAATTTAAAAAAAAAAAATTTTGTTCAACATTTGTCCTGTGCGGATATCACAAAAACCAATCTATCTCTGATTTGTACAAAAAAATTGCTAGGGGACTCACGCCAATTTCCATATTTAAAATATGAACAAATAATATGAATTGGTTTATGTTTCAACATATTAAACAGATATGTATGCATAATTTCAATTTTGCTCAATTTTGTTCAATAAACCGACTGTCAGCAGAACCATGTCCAATCTGTTGACGTCATTATCGCTTCAAAAATTCTGGAAATGGGTTTTGGTGGATCCTGTGGATTGTTCAAAACCGCTCCTGGTTCTGGAAGTGGATCCTCAGGATGGGCCAGGGCATTGTCAAACCCAGTCTGATCCATCCTGAAGATCCACCAAAACCCACTTCCAGAACATATTGTTCAAGGTGAATATGAACAATAACAACGCATTCGGGAAATAATACAAAATATTTGAAATCTAGCGTGAATTTTACATGATTTAAATAATACAAATAGATTTTGCTAAATAAAATTTGGCATGAATCCCCTAGAAAAATTGATTAATAAATAAATTTCAATCTACTTCATCAAATTGCATTTCAATGCTTAATTAAAAGTCCAAAACCATAATAAAGTTTTTTCCTTCACATTAATGAGTTGTGTTATTGGACCATTCAAACCCACTCTTCGCATTACTGAAAATAACATAAAATTAAAACCAAATAAAATATTTTTCGTCGTTTCGTTCATATGGCGCCAAATAATTTTTTTCTCTAATTCAAGTCCAATTAAAACTTCAAAAATGCACTCAAATAGTGTGTCGATGGTTTTAATATTTGCGTGAGTAATTGACTTCATTCCAAAACTGCACACCCAATCGTACATGTATTTGTTTAACGTCCAAATGACGAATAATTCAATTTGACATTATTGGGTTTTATGCATTGACAAAGAAGTGCCGATGATTTTCATTGGCATATGTATTTGATCCCAATATTGAAATGCAGAACAATGTTTACCACCGCGGAATGATACATGCGCGTTCAAAACCGAAAGTGACTATAAATTCAAACTACGCTTCAATTCGTTTGAAGTGCAATAAATAATAACCATTGACAATAGTTTTTGTACGTATAGTACATTTTCATTGTTTTGTTTGCACGTGATAGCCAGAAGTGTCGATAAATTATCATTTTGATTGCTCAATGCTTCAGTCAGAGAGTCAATATATTCGACAGAAATGTGTTTGTTCGTTGTTTGTAGATGGTTGAAATGTGCTATAATTTCTTCGTCTTGATAATGGTGACGTAAGCACACCTCTGTGTTTAATTTATCACTCGTCACTACTTTATCACTCGTACTTGTAAAGTCTGTGTCAACCCAATCAAATGATTTATGTGTAACATGACCCACAGCATGATTTGACCTGAACCAGCAGAAGTGTCAATGAGACAAAAAATATGTTTAGTACATGCACGTTTAAAATCACATTCCGCACTTCCATGCGTTTGCATTAATTTCGTTGAGTCGAAATAGGAAATGTTGTTTGTAGAACAACAATTAACTCGGTTCAAATCGTTTCAAATTGCATTGGTCATCCGAATTGGTTTGTGCCTTTGTCAATTGCAGTTTGCCACATCAATGGAATTCTAATATCCAATGGGAAAACAACATCTAACAGTCGACATTCCATCGAACCAACTGTTTTACTGAGCAAGTGTCTATGTTTTTGGGGGCAAACAAAGTGGTAGTGTGGGGGCAAACAATCTACTTCGCCACTTGAGCATACAAACACACACAAACGGGATTTATACTTTTGAAATGGCTTTTCTCCATTTTATATTGAGAGCCATCATTTAATAACCTATAAAACAAATCCAGTGAGAGTGGAAATATTCTTGCTGCTGAGCTTTAGGGAATTCAAAAACGGATATTTCTGCATTTGGTGAAATTGATGCAAAATGGCTTTATGGGAGCATCTACAAATGTAAACCACAAGAATGTTCTCTGCTCTACAAGTGAATGTGATCGGGGTGAAGATAATAGTCGACTGTTGTTTCGGCTGCTTGCCTTGCTGCTGCTCTCAGCATGAATTCAATTCCAGTCGTTGCACACCACATTTGTTAAACAACCCAGTGCACCACCTCTTCCTCGAAATCCATCGTTGAACACACTTATTTGAATGGTTCAAACAAACAAATACGCAATTTCCGAAGGTTATTAAAAGAGCAAATGCACTCTAGTCTCTCTCTCTCTCTCTCTCTCTCTCTCTCTCTCTCTCTCTCTCTCTTTGTCTGTCTATATTGGAACATTTCTCATCAACGAAATCGTTTGTTTTTTTTCTGTTGGTCAGAACTGCACACCGACTGCCCATAATCGGAAATTAAAAATAAACTGGAAGGCAGCCAAGCTCAATCCACAAATTGTATCATGATTTTCAATTAAAATGCCAAATTCAGAACAATGTGACATCCAAATTCATTCATTTTAATAATGTAAAAAGCATTCAACAAAAGAATGACCAATGACATACTGAAAACTCAAACACATAAATTCAGCTTTCTGATGCGTTTGACCTTTTTTGCTATTGTTTTGCATCTCTGCCATTTCTCATTTTTCGATGGCCAAAGTCGATTCGATGAAACTATAGCATAAATTTTTGGTGCATTTATTGTTTTCGGTCAGTAGTGTGCATAACATTCAGCCGGTGTCAGTGGCAGTGGCAGTGTGCGAGTGTGTTTCAACGCAACCAAGTAAACAAACACTTACAATGTAAAATCGTCTTTCGTTCATTCACTGTTCGCCCATTCCATAACATAAAAATATTACCCGCCCCGAAAATTGCATCTCCTCTCTTCTATTTTACGTATTCGCAACTTGCGTGTTGGATGTGGTGAGTCTTGTATTTGCATTCAAAGTTCCGTTTCCTCTCTCTCTCTCTCCCCCTCATATTCATTCTGTGCAAACTTGTCGCCGTTGTGCTTTTTGCAATCATCAAATCGCATAAATTCTTATCTTTTGTTTCATCGGCAGTCCGGCTGCATGCGTTTCCATTTGTGCTGAATCCACTGACATGGTGCAATCGACTTTGTCCACAACTCTCTGCTCAACATCAACCCACACACAGAGAGAGAGACACAGTCACACAAACCAATTCTGGCCCGCAAAGTTATGCTGTCAATGATATGCACGTTCAGTGGCAATGCTGACTGAGTACATGTGTACTCGTGTATGCAACACTTCGAGATATGGACATTTCAATTAAATTTACAAACGAGAAAATTCATTTTCCATTGGAATGCAAACACACAGAAATAAGTTTTTTTTTTGGTTTGAATAAACACACTCACTCACACTCGTACACAGCCAACTTTTCATTTTCGAACAAAAGTCAGACAGTTGGGTTTTTATGTGAGTTTTCGCAATAGTTTGTTATCATATTTGCACCTACTTCAATGGTTCGTAATGTGTCGAATGAGTAAAAAATGAATTTGAAATGTGTTTGATGTGTTTCACCAGTTTCGGTACTAAAGCATAATGTAATGTTATGCAGTCGAATTGAGGACGGGCGCTCTATCTGACGTTTGCTTCAAACACGAGACTGCGGGAGAGAAGACACTATGCTGTGCACCCGATGAGCCAAACTCCACATGAATATGCTTAATGTTTTATGCAACGATAAATGTGGTGTAAATTGAATATTCGATTCGCTTTTGTGTTTGCAATGTAAATGTGTTTGATTGCAAGAAATTTGTTTCTTTTTCTCTGGCGTCAATGTGTGATGAAATGGCGTGCATGTTTCGATGCATGTCTTATTTTCAATTTTCTAACTTGATACATTCACATTTCACGTCCGTCCGCCAACCATCCAGCACCGAGGTAAACTGAAAACGAAAATTTCCAAAAACTTGTTGGCCACATGGATGCAAATGGTTATTGCATCATGCACCTACTATGTATATCGTTCAATTTAAGCACACATTGTCTTTGAAGAGAAGGAAAATTCATTGAAGTTCTCTCTCTCTCTCTCGCTCGTTCCTCATACCTAAATTATTCATGAAATTGAACAAAGTTTCAAACTATTCGCTGGACATATTAAATAAGTGGAGGAAAATAAGCTGAAAAAGGAAGTATGCGAGGAAAAGAAAACGTGTCGCTTTTACCAAAGACAATTTCGGTATGGAAATGAATATGGAATATGTGTTCCGAGTTCTATTCGGCTGTATTCCAACACAGCCACAGTGAGAAACGGGGTTAACTGAAGTCATGGCATGATATTCGCTTGTGTCAGCGTGTCTGTGTCGAACAACTTCGATGTACGATGTTAACTCTCATACCATAACAGTTGCATTATGGCAAACATTCAATGGCCTTTGTGCACCAGCCACTGACCGATGATGCATTTGTTCATTTGTTCATTTGTTTCAATCACTTCTCGCATATGAAATCCAAATTTAATAACGAACCCATCTCCAAATCATCGCTCTCATTCATGGCATGTTTTTTTTTCAATCCGTCTGGCATGCTGCCCAGTGTCCACTGTCCGGCAATGCATTGTATGCACATGTGATTCACTACATCGGCATCCAAATCGGGCAGCCAGTTATACCATGCACGACTTCCTATGACATTCTCAATGAAATGTGCAAACTGGTGTAAATCTATTGATCATATTTTTTCTTTCATCATTTTCCTTTTATCATGCATAGATTGGCCAATTTACCAAACATATTGATAACCTAATTATTTAACACTATACGAATACTGGCGTCACTATGCTTCGGATTACTTGTTGGCCCCAAATAGAAGAAAAACCGTTCCAAATGCTCGCTTGTGATCCGGTAGTCGAACAACGTAATATATTGCGACTGCATTATTAGACAACTCGCATTACCCATGATTCATGATTTTGTGCATTTTTCTGGTTTTTCACCACATTCATTTTTTTGTGTGTTCATCTTACATTTTTCGAATACAGATTACTGTTTTACATTCACTTGTGCCAGTAAATGTGTCGAATAATATTGCATTCGAATGGCCATTCATAAAAGTCATCCGAGACTGTTTTCTCATCCTATGTGGGCTGGCTGAATCTGTGAAATGGGTGCCAACTGCTATCGTTTCCATTCAAATGCATTTAAACGTTATCCAATTGAAATGTTTGAGAGAGAGAGAGAGAGAGAGAGAGAGAGAGAGATACAGAAGGGAAAAAAGCCGGGCGTAAAGCGATTGCTTACTATTCCTCTCTGTATAAGGGTCATTTCCGTGTAGCGGTTTTCTGCACGAATACATTTTATGTCGTTGCGAAGCGACGAAAGAAACGGAAGACTAGCAGATTTTTTCTCTCTTTGTCTCTCTCTTTCTCTCTGTCTCTATCTCGACCTAACCATACCGGGCGCACCATTCATGCGACCCCAGAGGCAATAAAAGAAGTGCATATATTTCGTGCAAACCGAAAAGGTGATCGGCGACAGAACGCATCATAGCCTCGAGATAATAAATAGTATTTCTATCCAAAGCGGATGCGAAACTTCGCTCTGGGCTGATCTACTTCCATCTGAGCAGCATCCATTCGTGCGATTCATTCTGTTT